CAGGCGGATCTTGGAGAGCTACGGGTGGACCTCCGACGAGCTCGGCGACCAGACGAGCTTGCAGGCCAAGCTCCACGCTTTCCGCACCCGCGTGTTTACGCATCCACGCTTCAACGGCTCGCGCGTGATAGGCGTGCTGTTGTCGACGGACACGATGGACAGGGAGATCGCTCAGCTGCCCACTCCGCAGTACCTGTGGGAGCAGAAGAAGGTCTGGCGACTGCAAAGGGTGTGGTTACGCCGGGTTGTGGTTTGCGAGCTGCGACGTTGGGCCTTGGGGAGCACCACGTTGCCCTCGTCGGGCCTGCTCGGGGCGCGGCGGAGAGCTCTGTCGAGGTCCTCGCCCGCCCCCCAGGGTGCGGGTTGCAAGCCGCACCCTTTGCACACCACACCCTTCGGAGTCGCCGAAAGGTGGTGCCCTTCCTGAGAGTCGACCGCGGCCTCCTGGATGAGGCGGACGGCGTTCAGCTCATGCGGGACATTCCCAGACTGAGCGCCACCCTCGAGAAGGCGACGCAGGTGGGCTTCTTCGGGACGAAGCACCGAAACGTCATCCTGCAGCCGAACGCGACCGGCATCAAGCAGGCCGTCGAGCAGCAGTTCGAGGTGGCGAGGTTGAGCCTCAAGGCAGGCCTGGTGCCGATCCTCCACATCGAGGTTGACATCAGCTCCCCGGACAAGGCGGACTGCGAGCGGATCCTGCGCCAGTCGCTCATGTCCGGCCTCAGGACCATAGACACGAAAGACAAGGTTCGGACGGGGCTAGGACGAGGACAAATCCGTTGCGGAGAGTTCCGGATGCTGGAACGCTCTCAGAGCGTTCCGGAACGCTCTGAGAAGGCCGCGGCGCGCGAGGCGTTCTCCAGAACCGCCAGATCTCAGGGAGCTTCGGTTCATCCTCACGCGGTGTTGTCCTCGTCCTGGCTTCGACTGGAAGGTCGTCCTGCTCCTGAGCATTCCGACGAAGGCGGACACCTTCCGGCCCCTCATGGGCCACCCCCAGGTGCTGCGCGTGCTGGCCAGCTCCGGCGGCTACAAGCGCGAGCAGGCGTGCGACAAGATGCTGGAGAACACGGGGCTCGTCGCTTCCTTCGGGCGCGCCTTCCTCGACGGCATGAACCGCAGGCCGGGGGCAGCGTTTGGGGGGAGGCATGCTGCTCAGGGGGGGAGGCATGCTGCTCAGGGGAGGCATGCTGCTCAGGGGAGGCATGCTGCTCAGGGGGGAGGCATGCTGCTCAGGGGAGGCATGCTGCTCAGGGGGGGAGGCATGCTGCTCAGGGGATATGCGCATCTTCGAGGGCCGAGGTCTTCGGGCGTTTTCCGTCGGCTCTCGGCGGCTCTCCAGCCTCGGGGTGCCCTCTGGCAGCTGCGCCCCGCCGCAAGACCGAGACCATGCAACGTTAGGGGTTAGGGGGGGCCAGAGGCTCCAGGGGGGAGTGCATCGACCCTCAATCGCTCATCGATCGACTCAGGAGGGGAAAGACCACACAGACACAATTCATCGTCGACTCCCAGGAAAATATGGGAAGATATGGGCAGCGTGGGGGAAGACGAAACTCCAGAAAATATGGGAAAATGTGGGGAATCCTTTTATTTGTGTGTGTATTTATATGTGTGGCCCAAGGCCCCTTCATCGACGAGAGGGGCCCGATGGCCCACCCGCCCAGGGGGGAGTGCATCTCGGCATCGCTCGGACGTGTGCATTTTGTTTTTCTCGGCGAGAGCCATCGGGGACCATCCTGGACCATCGAGCAACCAAAAAAGACGCGCACGAAGCCGAATAAAAGGCACGGGAAAGGGACGTCCGAGCGACGGCAAGGCATCGACCCTCCATCGCCCATCGATCGACGAGAGGGGCCCGATGGCCCACCACGCCCAGGGAGGCGCGGCGGCGCTGCCGGGGGCCCCTCGCCGGTCTGCCGGGGGCGCCTCGTCGGTGCGCGAGGCCGATGCCTCCCCCTCGGAGTCGGCCCCCGCCTCCGCCCCAGACCCCCGCCGTCGTGTTTTCTTCTCGCAACGTCGACCCCCAAAGGTCCGGACCCTGTCCCCAGGACCAGTGTTTCATCCCGAGTCTTTTTGTTTGGACGGTCCCGAGGTCCGGGAAGGGCCCCTTCATCGACGAGAGGGGCCCGATGGCCCACCCCGCCCAGAGATCGGGGGAACGTAAGACCCGGGTTTGCCGGGACTCGGGTTCGCCATCGTTTTTTGACGACCGCGCCTCGGATTTTGACGAGGAGGAGTTTCGTGGGATGTCTGCAGCGGGAGGCCTCGTCAAAATGCAGGCTCGGCCTCGTCATTTTTTTGACGACCTCGTAGGGGATTTCCGAGTCCCCTGTACCCAGGT